GTCCATTCAAAGGACTCGCACGGACATTGATTGATACATTCAAACTTCAAAGTGACAGCTTTCCGTTCAAAGCGAATGCTTTCTGTTCAAAGGGATAGTTGTCCGTGCAAAGGACATGCCATCTCAGTTGACAGGTGAGGTCAGCTCTCCGAGATGACAGCTGTCTGTTCAAAGTGACAGCTTTCCGTCCATTCAAAGCGACAGCTTTCCGTTCAAAGAGACCGCTTTTCCGTTAGAAGTGTGTGTGTCTCAGCTGAGAGCTGCATGTTCAAATTTCACAGTTGTCAGCTATCTGTTCAAAGTGACATCTTTACGTCCATTCAAAGCAACAGCTTTCCTTTCAAAGGACATGCATCTCATATGCAAGCTGTTCGTTGAGTCCCCAAGTCGAACAAGGATGAGCTGAGGGTGAGGACGAAGACCTCCATGGCTATGGAGTAGTCGCAGGAGGGAGAAGGCCTAGGCTATGGAGGTAGGAGGGGAAGGACCTCAAGCTAGGCTATGGAGGCAGGTGGAAGAGGTGAGTAGAGGTACAGGAGGAGTAAGACCTCCATGTCTATGGAGTGGTTGTGGAAGGGAGAAGACCTAGACTATGGAGGTAAGACTAGAAGGACCTCAAGCTAGGCTAGGGAGGCAGGTGGAAGAGGTACACAAGTGGTTAGCGGGCACCCCCAGTTTCAGCTCCTGACTAACGGGTCCAAAACTGAAATTAGGGTTTGGGCTCTTTGGGGGTCAAATGTTATGTTTCTTTTTTGCCTGTTTTTGTTTTGGTGAAAGGCTGTCTCTTATACACATCTAGATGTGTATAAGAGACAGGTGTGTGTGTGTGTGTGTGTGTGTGTGTGTGTGTGTGTGTTGTCATATCCGCTATACACTCAAAAAAAGAATGACTTGAGGGGTGGTGTTATATTCCCTCAGAGCCCATGAATGAGTGGTCATAATAAAAAAAAAGACGCCGTGGTGCAAGGACCTGTCTCTTATACACATCTAGATGTGTATAAGAGACAGGAGAGAGAGAGAGAGAGAGAGAGAGAGAGAGAGAGAGAGAGAGAGGTCTTAAGGAGAGCTCTCTGAGTGCTGTCAGTAAGGGAGATCAATCAGACATTGGCTCTTGTTCATTCATTCATTTATTATCATAGTTTTAGCGGACCTGGACACCGGACCAGTCCAGACGTCCAGCCAGACCTGTGTCTGGACTGCCCCGGACCGCCTGGATTGAAAACCCCCCTTAAAAATTAAAAACAAAACGTTTTTTCCCCCCTTGGACTGGGCTATGAATTTCGAGATGGTCCTCAGCCAAAATATTTTTGTATTGCATTGCTGCATAACACCTCTCTTTTTCAGATTTTTTGGATTTTTTTTAGTCGGATTTCTTGGGGGGGTGAGGGTGGTGGGATGGATCCGGACACTCTGGACCGGACATCAGACCCGGACATTCAGACCCAGACAGTCTGCTACTGTGGTCCAGACGTCCAGATTGGGACCATGTTTATTATCATATGTACTATTTAATTGATTATTAATTTATTGTCACGCAAGATGGCAATTATGTGAGGGTCGTGGTTAAGATACTTGGCTTTTGAGGCCTAAGTCACCGATTCGAATCCGTGCTTGCATGGAGGAGGACTTGAAGCCCAGATGTGCGGATCCACATAGCCGCTGTGGAAGCACCCATGAGCTGCCGGGTGATATGCTCCCGTGTGGTGGAGGGACGGAAGTACTATTGGTAGGGTTCGTGCTGACTGGAGCGAAATGTGCGAGAATTGCCGTGTCCTTGTGGTGTTGTGTGTGGTGTGTGTTGAGTTGGACACTACAGCCTTGCAGGGGTGGGGTGGATATCATGACAGGTGGTTACACTATTGTTGAACACCGTGTCCTGGCTGAAGCGGTTAAGATACTTGGCTCTTGAGGCCTAGGTCACCGGTTCGAATCCGTGCTTGCACGGAGGAGGACGTAGGGCTCAGATGTGCAGATCCACATAGCCGCTGATGATGATGGTGAGAGAAGGGAGATGACCTCGGTTCAATCTCTCATGTTCATCTTCTTTTCCGTCTCGGCGTCACCTCCTCTTCATTCTTCTTCTCCTCGTGGTCTGAACGCACTTCTTCTTTTTAAAAGCTTTCCTTGCAATTTCAGAACTTTTTAAAAGCTTTTTACCATTTCTCTATTTCTGTGTGTCATCCTTGTGCCGGGGTCATGCTATTCCACTTTTAACGGCTGTCCTGCTTGTTGAGTTGTGATGTTTGGCATTGTCTCAAAGTTGACGTCTTGCATTGCGAATCCTGCATTTTGTTTCTTCTGATTTGCTTTTACAGCTTTTGATGACATGGTGGCCAACGCGATAAAACACGGCAACGAGTTGAAAATCGCGAAGACTGCCTGTGCTTCGTACTCTCTCCATTTAATGCCGATTGATGCCGCACAGATGGAGGCTGACTTTGTCAAGGCAAAGGAGGAGAAGGAGATGAACAAGAGTCTGGCCGAATTGTCGTCCAATGTCTGCGCGACGGCCTTGTCATCATTCGATACAAGGAAGACTGAGGAAATGGGATTAACAGCTACCCAAAGGAAAGGTAAGGGGCCTGATTCCAAAAAAAAAAAAAAAAAAAAAAAAAAGAGAGAAAAAAAGAAAAAAAAGAGAGAAAAAAAGAAGGAAATTTCCGCGGGTCTGTGGTCGGTTGGATGACGTGGGAATTTTTCTTCTCTTTCCCCGTTTGTCTCAGTTGTACATCAGAAAGGCTGGGAGTATCTATCATGAATTCCTTCAGAGTTATGATAGTAATCTCTCTCTCTTTTGAAGAACAGATAATGACGATGGATGTTGGAAGTTTCTTGGGTGTAACAGTAAGACCTTTTCCTTGTTTCCATCCATAAGGTGTGTCGCTACAATGAAGAAACCAGGACTGTGTACTGAGATCTGGTTCCCTCAAGTTCATTTCTACGCAATCCGATAACAGAGGAGTGGGTCTCAGTCTGCTCGCGGTAAGGAAGGAACTTTGGCTCAAAGGGTTCTTCCCTATTCGGATGTTCGTTTCAAGGATTTTTCCGGATCATCTAGAGGGGTGTGCGACCCTTCGGTATCCTTCTTTTCTCTTCTGGACTAGTATTTTCCCTGCTCTCCCTGGCCGGCCTCTCGGACCTCATCTGTTTCTTTTTCTCTTCTTACTTTTCTAAGTTTTCTTTCTCTTTTTATTTTCCCTCTCGACACTTCTGAAGCTCCATCCTTCGCCTTCCTCGATTCCTTTGCCTTATGGCCTTTGCATCTGACTGCAGTACCCATCATTATCTGTTCCAGAACACGTCTGATGACTTTCAAAAAATCATTTCCCAAAATTTTCAAATAATTTCTATAGACCCAATCATGCAATCACAGCCAGGTGCATTCAGAGAACTGGCCATATCTGTGGTCAGATACACGCATAAATTGAGAAATGGTCCAATTTAGAGGTTTGTTGCGCGGCTACCGAGCGCTGCAGCCGGGAGCTGCGGGGTAGGGCAACGAACCTGAGGCTATCATGCCCAGGAGCCTTACCACCCATGACGGCCATAGCTGCGAATGGCGGCTATGGAGTTTGTCTAGCGCCACCCATCGATAGCATTGGGAGTGAGGGCGGCCTGCTTTTTCTCTTTTTTTTTCATGTGGTGAATCATTTCGCTCGTTTGTGCGCCGTTTTAGGTGACCATCGTTGCCATTACTTTTTTTGGTTCCTGTTGCATTTCTGGTGTGTGCCTTGTCTATCGAATAGCGCTGTTTGCTTCCTATGTGAAAGAGAGTAAACAAAGTTGTTTGGATGGATATATTGATATATTCAGGTTGTGCTTTGGTGATTCTTCTCTATCTAGGGCTGTGCTTTCTTTTAGTTTCTAAATTAGGCTTTCCATACTGGAATCTCCTTTTTGCTGGTTTTGCTATACTAGCCTTCATAAGGTGCATTTGGAATAGTAATCAATGGGCTGGGAATTCTGCTGTTCCCTTGGCTCATTTTTTCAATGCTTGTTTCACGTAAGTTTTTAGCTGCTGGAATTTCTTGGGAACTCAATTCTGCGAAACTGCCGAGACGGATGGGTGAGTGTCGCGCTGCAGAGGTTTCATCATGATGGGCGGTGTAGTCTCCTAGGGAGTTGACGCAGACTGGTGGCATAGTTTTGCCCTGAATCGTGAGGAGGTGGGTGGGTATTGCAGGGTCCTCGACCCCTGCTGCGCGGGTGGTAGGGTATCTCTACTGGCTCATGAAGATACCATGAGAAAGCATTATATGCTGGTTAGGTATTCGTCTCTCTACAAGTGGCTTTGGTGTCCCTCAGTCATCCGTTTATTTGTGAGATCGATTGGTGAAAGGGACTACCGGCTATTATTCAATGACTGGACAAAGCTTGACACAGCTATCCCAATGAGACCTGCCCAAGAGTTCCCTGACTTTTTCCCTCCCCCCCCAAACAGCCTAGTAGACTTAGGATGGTACGGCAGGGATGGATGAAAGTAGGGATAGTTAAACCAGGTTTCAGGTGTGGTTGTCTGTGGCGTGGTCACTGACTCATCAAGGCTCAGGGAAAGGAGGATCTAGTGTGTAGTGATGGAAAAAAGTGTGCAGTTCAATACTCAGGTTCCCAGGGTCATCAATATTGGAAGGAGGGGAGAATTAGTGTGTAATAGATAGTATCTGGCACCTGTTTTCCGGTGAAGAGATTCTCCGCCCCCACTCTCTAACCTCCTGCTCAGTTAATCCCCCGGACCCCGGGGTAATCAATGCTGGCAGGAACCCCCCTCATCCCTTTCTTGACATAATTCATGCAGCTTGTATATGGGACGCTGGACCCGTTTTCCAGCAGGTGATGCTCCCCACCAATAGACGGAGCCGCGCCCCCCAGGTGCTAGTGGTGTCTGCTCTTACCAGCATCACTAACACCGATGGGGACGTTCAATTAAAAAAANAAAAAAAAAAAAAAAAAAAAAAAAGAGCATCGCTCCACAGGACTTCACCATGGAGAGTGGTAAAGCTTCCGGTAGGGAGTGGATGCAGATTGGGGGAGCAGTCTACCCTACATTGCGAGGAGGCGGGTGGGTTTCGCAGGGTCTTTGGCCCCTGCCGCACGGGTGGTATGTCTTTGGTAATGGTGAGTGGGATGGATGTGCAATCCGCTCTGGATCGCAGGGAGGTGGTTGGGCTTTGCTGGGTCTGTGTCTGCATTCGGGGGCTGCGGATACAGACCCCTGCCGCCCGGGTGGCAGGGTGGATTTGCAGGGATAGGCGACATATTAGAATGATCATGGTCTCCTGGGCTTTGGGAACCTAAGACTGCGAAGATCCCCTTGGAATTTTAGGTTTTTGATTGTTCCTTCCTGGGCTGTTCTAACTCTTTTCAGGGTTGGAATCCCCTGCATAGTGGTTGCCACTGGTTGGTGATTTCTTAGGCCTTGTGTATATATTGTTTTGGTAACTTCTGGGTGCGCTTTTTGCTAAGTTTTCTTGTTGTCACCCACTGTAGGATTTCTTGTCTTTGCACAATAACGCTTACATCTGTTCTTTTTTGTGACAGGATGTGGATGTAGAGAAAGTTTTTTTTTTGGTAGAAGATTTGAAAATAAAGTAGGGTCACATGTGGTGTTGTAGAATTTGTAAGGCTTGTTTTCTAGTAAAGGCTTTAAAGTTCTCCCTTCAGTTCCTTTCTACAGGGGAGGGGCTCCACCTGCTGTGTGACGCTGAAGACCTTGTGGCCCCTGAATCTGCAACTATTTTATGTTACTTTGTCCTTTAGCCTTGGGCACTGGACCCTTAGTGGAGACTATTTTTTTGTTTAAAAAAAAAACAAAAACAAAAAAACAAAGAATGTCTTGATGCTTCTCTCCAGTCAGCATCTCCCCCTCAGACTACTGCAAGGAAAATGAGCAATAGCGAAATGACAGAATTCCAAATTGCAAAATCATATTGAAAGCCAGATAGTCGTAAGCTGTCCAGAAAGCAGAAATGCACTGATATCACACCAAAGGAGAACCGAAGCAGCGAACTCAATTGTCAATGAAGCCCTCTCTCGCCACCATCAACAGTGTACGTGAAGTTTTTCCTCCTGTCGGCGCGCAGCACCCAGACTACGATTATACGGCCACTATGCTAGCATACTGAAATGACAAAGCAACCAGTTGACATCAGCAGCAGCAACCAGAGTACATGCAGATGTCGCTCATGAACACCTCCATGATGACCAGGTACATGCTCTCACATCAGTCCCCACTCGCCCTCTCAATGCTCAACCTCGTCGGTTCCCCCACATTCCTTCTTCAACCAAGGACCTCCACCATACCCCGCTGGCCTCTGTCTCTCAGCCCAGCTATGGCTGTAGACTGGTGCTGCCTTCAGCAGCGCCCACTCCCTCGCAACCGTGCTCGCTCACCAGACTCTTGCCCTAGCGGCCTCTGAGCGCACATACCAGCAGCGCTGTCGCCCAGCCAGCGAGTGCCCGAATGCCCTGTTTGTGGCCTGGCTCTTTCCTAAATGGAAAGTGGCCAGGCACGATAGCTGCCTGGACTGGAACGCACGCGTGCCCAGTAGCTTCACATTGGGCCGAAGTGTTTGTGCCCAGGCCCATTCAGACAGTGGCCTGGGCCTGCAGCAGTTAGGCGCGCCCATCCGACCAACCCGCGCCTTCTGAGGTGTTCCCTGCCTCGTCATAGGCCAAGAGGCCTGCTTCCACATCGAAGTAAGAAGAGCCTGGAAGGCTCATGCAAGATTCCGATGCTCGCGAGCAGGGCACATGTAACCAACTGGCGCTGTGGTAACTGTCTGGCGCCCACCAGGGCCTGCGGAATTGCAATACTTCAGGCCTTGTTGGGATGCAGGGGCCCACCTTCACTTAGGGCGGGCACAAGGCCTGTTGAAGGGGGCCGAGTTATGCATGACGAGGGCTCATATCCTCACACTCCCTCCTCCATTGCTTCGATAGTCCTCCGAGAAGTCCTTATTCAGCAGGCTGCTTTCCTTTTAGACTTCTTTCATCAAGGACCAGCCACGCGGCGCTTGCACGCAATAGGGAGGGAATCGCCGAGGAAAGAGAAAATGGGGGCGGGGCAGCAATTTCACTCGTGAGCTCGGCGCGGGGATCGCCAGATCAGTCGGGGCAAGGGGGCGTCAGCACACTCATACATCCACGTAGACTATTGAGACCTACTTAATTCCTCACGCACATATGCCAAGAGAGAACAACCACAACCATGCATACCCATTCTACATCCACAGACTTAGTCGTCATGATCGGGACCCTCCAGCGATGACCGGGGATCTTTTTTTCATGACTGGGACAGATACAATCCACACTCGAAGATCTCGTCACCAATATTTTTTACCAATATACAAGAATGTCAACCAGGTAGCGGCTATGGCTTCCCTCTTCTCTCTCTCTCTCTCTCTCTCTCTCTCTCTCTCTCTCTCTCTCTCTCTCTCTCTCTCTCTCTCTCTCTCTCTCTCTCTCTC